TATTAAGAAAATAAGATTTATAGCCACTATAGCTAATAGCTATATCTTTATTTAAGTATTATTAAAGAGAATAGCTATTATAATACTATATATAAACGATATTCTTATTAAAATTAAGTTATAAAGTACTATAAATTATATTAAATATTAAATTTATAAAGAATTTAAGGCTATCGAAGTAGGTCTAATTAATTATATTCTCGATATTTAAGTTTATTATAATTAAAAATCTTATATCTTAATTATTAAATAAGTATAGTACGTTAAAAAGATATTTAAAGAATATTTAATAAATTAAGCGACTTTTATTTATATTCTTATTAATAAATATAAATTAATTTAATTAGATTAACTAGAAGAAGAATATACGAATTAGCTATAATACTAGAAGCGAATAGAAAGTCTTATATTTCTTATAACTGATATATAAATCGATATAGTCTTCGTTATAGAAAAGCTTAGTTAATTCTACTATAATCTTATTATTCGCTATATTAGAATCGATATAGATGTAATATTAATATAGATATATTAAATAAGATAACTAAGATATCGAATTATATAGATAAGAAGAAGATATAATATAATAGAAAATGCCTCCGCCAAGGCTCGCTAGTTATAGGGCTGAGAGGTATATTAAGAATACGCTCGTAATACTACTTTTCTCTCTTCGTTAAATTATATTTCATAATTAATAAGTAAAAAGATAGAAAAATGGGTATATATATATACTTAACGCCTAAAAAATAATAAAAGCAGTAAAAAAATAATCGTGTTCGGGAATTCTAGTATCGTATCTTTCTTTATAAGAGATATTAAAGACGATAGTAGCTCTTTATATTTACGCTATAGTAACGTCGCTAGCCGAGATATAGATATATATAGAAAGCTTAGTCGAAAGAAAATCGATATAGTATAATAAAAATCGTATTCATGAGCGTAGAGGTAAATAATAGCGATTTTCGAATTCGTATTTAAGTGGATAAAATATCGGTGAAATAATGCGATATAATTAGTTAAGGGCTCTCGAATCGAACTAAGCTATAGACGCTAAAAACTCTAATTTAATATTAAATAACTTTAATATAATCTTCTCTATAATATATTATTTAGCTAATATTAATTATATTTCGTAATAACGATAGCGTAATTTATATATATATTAATATAGCTTCGAAAGATCTTTAGAGTTATATTAGTAAGGGGGCTTACGTAAAAGACTATATATAAGATAATTCCCGATTAATATAGGTTTAAGAAATCGATTCTCGGGTTTAGAAAAAATAAGGCTATTATAAAGACATCGGACGGTTTTAATTCGACTAAAAATAAGATATTCTCTATTATTTCATAAGTTAACCCTTTATAGATAAGACTCTTCGAGATATCGTTTATGAAAATCATTTATCAGATCTTAGTAATTTTCGAATTTACCGCCGTTCGTATTATATTAGATAGAGTTATTATCGAGATCTTTTCATTTAACTTTATACTTAAGATGACTATAGATTAATTTAAAGTTAAGTATTTCTTTAATAACTCATTTAATTCGATTATTAACAATAATATATTTTAGCGAAGAGTTTATCTATTCTAATAATAGGTTATTTATTATAAGACTTAAGAGATTAAGATAAAAGACGTCGTGAATTCTTATACTTAATGGAAGTTCTAGATAATAAGAGATTTTAATAAGGCCTATAATCTTAAATAAATTAAGTCTCTTATAATCTAATTTATGAAAAGGGCGATTAAAGATAATATTCTTACTATTTAGAAAGATCGTATTATCTATTTAAAAAGTAATCTTTTATTAATACTTATTAACTTGCGTAATTATAATCTTCTAAGCGTAGTTTATATTACTTCGAATATATTTAAGAACTTATTTTATATAATTCGTGATATTCTTCGTCTAAGCGATATTAAAACGCTTATATATAGTCTCGTAATCGGTAATATTCGAGCTAAAAGTTATTTGAGGATAGAACCTCTTATTCGCGAGGAAAGATAGAATATCGATAGTCGATAAGATAGTATTATTATCGACGAACTCGATAATAGATAATTACTTTATTTAGTTATTCTATATATAGTTATAGTATATTCGAAGATAACGCTCTATATTTTAATTCGCTTATTTAATTTATTTATCGATTTTAGAGTAAAAGACTATTAATAGCTTAGCTATAATATTTAGTTTCTCGTAAAAAGATTTTTATATAGTAGCTATAAATTAAAGGCCTTAATTCGATATTATTAAGATCGATAAGTCGTATAGACGAAATACTTTCTTAAGTAGTAAGTTAATTATCTTTTTAGTAGTAGTATCTTTATTAATATCGAAATAGGCTATATAGTAATATTTCTTAGTAAATTAATTAATTACTATTTAAATAGCGTTATAGCTATTAAATATAGATAAGTCTATAACGAAGTCGACTAATATATCTTACTATCGCTTCTATAGAATTAATAGAGACTATAGTAAATTATACTTTCGATTACGAGGCGTCTTAGCTCTTTAATAAATATAGTAATTCTAAATATAGATAGTTATAATAATTCTTATACCTCGTTAATAATATTCCCTTTTAAGTAATTTATAAGTATATACTATCTCGAAATATTCGTAGAATAATTAATCGTATATCTCTCGAATAATATTAATATATATATTATCGAATATTTATAAACGATTCTAATAATAAAGTATCTTATCTTATACGAAGTATTTACTAAGAATAATCCCTTAAAACTTATTCTTATTTTCGATGATAGCCTTACGAATTTTCGTATAATACTCGTCTTTCTTATTAGCCTCTATTATCTTATAATAAATAAAGTCGTTAATTATATATATATCGATATATTCGCTATTTAATTTTAATCGATTAGAAATAAGAATTATTTAATATTATTAACGTAATTATTCGTTTTCGAAATTAATTAGTTTATACTTAGCTATTTATATAAGTATATTTATCTTAATATTTTAAGATCTCGATCGATAAATAATCTTTATATTAAATTCTAATAATATATTTAAATATCGAGCCTAACGTCGACTGAGATTTCTTTTTTAGTAAAATATATTAGTTCTTTATAATCGATAAAGATTTTAATAGAGATATTTATATATTTTAATTTAAGACGCTAGTATTCTAGATAGCGAATAATTATTAGTAGTTTCTTATTATAGATCTAGTAATTACACTTAGCCGAGATTAGATTTTTACTATAGAAGACTATCGAGTGAAGTACTCTCTTATTATTATATTAGAAAAGAATATCTTTATTAATATAGTCGAAAGAGTTAGTCTTTAGAATGGTCTTCTTTATTCTATTAAAATAATATAGAATTAAAACTTTATTTGGCAAGCGACTTTTTGCATTTATATTAGGCCCATGCCCACTACATAAAGTTCTTTCCTTATGTTCTACCTATCTATGTATGCGATCTATTTATATAGCATTCATATACCCTAGCCCTAATCCTAATTTATTGGGCATAGCCTATCATATTGTCAACAAAGACCGCCCTAAAGTAGGAGCCCTGATCCCTGAGTTGCTCGGGGTCGGCAAACTAAACTTCACAGTGGCGGATTTTTGATGTCGAATAGGTACTTACTCAACCATTCAGCGCGCACTCAAAATTCCGGTTGGGAAGTCGTATAGTTATTTAATCAGAGTAACTCATACACCCAAAGTTTGGTGATTGAAGCTTTTGTTGTAGAGTTATAAAAGTTGATTAAAGATATGTTTTGCGATTTTCGAGGGCCCTAAAGTAAGTGCAGTTTATTCTGCCGACCTTCGGGGTCTCCTATGGGTGTGATACGGGCATTCCCCAACCTGGGCTGAGGGCGCAATTGTCCAGGCCGCCTTTTAGGCGGGGCGTCATCCGAGATCTTGGCGCAGGAGTCTTGGCTTCCGTTGCCGACCTCCGTAGGTAGCACAGCAATTTGTTGCTACTGAAGCAACTATCTTTGCTGTCGTGGTACTCTTCGTGGGTATTGTAGTGCGGGCTATCAGGTGGCAGTGAGTCGGTCCACAGCATGTACATGCAGCGTCTTCTCCTTCGGCAGCAGGACGGATTAAGATTAGCGCTACACCAGAATGTGGACCAGGACCAGCCCTGCCGCGGGACCTCCTTTCTTTCCTTGCTGTTACGCAATGGCCCGGAATCGATCTGCTTCCAATTACCTGGCTGCCAGCGATGGATAATGTAGGCAGCGGCGCGACGTCGAACATATATCAATCGCTAATAACAATTGACCTTGGCGACGCATTTGAGCACATTCAATTCAGTGACTCTCGTAGCGGTTTCCAGATTCTGGGATCCGATATTGCTCTGCTTGGTCACCTTTGGATCTGAAACTATCTGAACATTATCAAAATCTAAGGCTTGCGTTGGAATATTACTTAGGACAGGGAAGACATTAGACTGGTGCTGGTATTTGAGAAGTCGCCCTTCGGCGACCTAGGCCGGTTCATGAGACCTGACAGAGGCAACCGTGCGGGCATGACAGAGAGACTGGATCTCTGCGTTGATATTGCAATGGCAATGCAGAGTATGCAGCTGCGCTGTAAGCCTCCTGGATGGTCACGATAACTGTAATGAGTTTAACAGGTCAACGGCCATTGTTCACGGCGACATCAAACCTGAGAACGTGTTAATATTCAGAGAGGGGAATATCTGCACCGCAAAAGTTACCGACTTTGGATGTTCTACTCTCGGAGCGGCGAACAAAATTGTTTTGCTTCCTCAGACGCCTCTATAGCACGCTCCTAAGCACCATCATCGAAGGTTTCCACTGAGTGCGGCCAAAGAAGCTGATGTATACACGCTAGGATCAGTTACATTATGGATCAAGTTTTTTGCTGGCCGCACCGACAAGGCGGTCGACGACCAACCTCAGGTCGAGCCAAATGAGAGACTCCGGGGGTAGCAGATTGCGCCCGTGTACATGAGCTAAAATCCCAAAGCTAAATAGTCACTCATGTCTCGTCTACCAAGAGTCACGATCCAAATGGCGAGAGTCGGAGCTGCTTTCGGAGCCGAGGCCGAAATGTTGCTGACTCCAAAGCCAAAATTCTCGGTGGGTCTGAAAAAGATGAAATAAGAGATGAAATCTTCTACTGACTGAACAGAAGATGGTCAAGGGCTTTAGTCAGCTGATCAAAGCAGATTACCGAATAAGAGAACATACAGTCCGATGTCTTGAACGTCTGACCGAGGAGCAAATGACGGACGACGCCCAAGATCATGCTCGATTTGAGCATGCGTTCTGCCACAGCCTTGGCTTTGGTACGGCGAAATGTGTGACTAAAGTCCGTGCTCTCCTGGGACATAGTGACCCAAGAATAGGATATCTTGAAGATGCAGTAGCCAATCTTCGCAAGGACGGGGGGTATCACTCCTTTACGAACGCCGCGGTGGAGGCTTTGACAAGTACCGCGCATCTCGGAAATCCCAATTTGCCCCATGAGTACTGGCGGTCCGACTCCTTGATAAACGTCGTCAACCTGTCACATAGGGAATATCGTACCATGCCGGAGACCTTCGGCCCGGCCCTGTCCACTTCGCTACTTCTTGGTTGGGCAGTGTCCTGATGCATCTTATGATTGAGCAAAGCGACTATCAATCATGTGAAAATTTCGCTTTTAGAATCCTGGAAGTATCACCATCAAGAGCGACACGGGAAGGTTGAAGCACTTCTGGTGAAGGTCATGTACCTCAGGGAGGCTTCTCTACCACAGGATCATCCGGACTTGCTCCGATGTATGGCGAATTTGGCCGTAATATACTATGACCAGAAGAAGTGAAGCAACGCACAGTACCTTCTGGAGCAGGTCGTCAGCGCAAGACAAAGAAGCCTTGAAGACGCGTAGCTTGATTCGGTATCGGGAGGCTGTACCGAGTACCTGGCGCTAACTCACTGGATCCAAGGACACTAGACTGAAGCAGAGCTGGAACTCAAGTTTTTTCACGCAGTCTTAGAGGACTGCAATGGGATGCAATTGATCAGGACGTCGTGATAAGCACGAGAAATCTCGCAGCTGTATTCGAAGCCCGTGGATGTGCGGACGATGTGAAGCAGTTGGAACAGAAGATCACTAGTGTCGTGGAGGCTATCTTAGGGCACAGTTATTCCGCAAATGCGCTCGATCTCGAATGGCTACATTCACTTACATTGTATTAGCAGTTCTTATGGACTGACTAAAAATAATCACAATAATTTCACTAGCCTCCTCTCAGCCCTCTTTCGGATCAATCACTCGGTTAACCCAAGGTAAAATATGTGACATAACAGGGCGGCAGCGAAATAATGAGGCTTGACAAGGTTTCCTACTCAGACCCACCTTCGGTGGGGCATCAGGCCAGGTCTGTCTGCAGCGACGTGTATCGTCGTAGCAACGCGTGTAAGCAAGCAACTCGTACAAGTAAGCAACTCATGCAAGTAAATAATATGTGCAAGTGAGTAAGCAAGCGAGTAACACATGCAAGTATTTAAGAGTAAGTAGTAAGAGCAAGTATGCGAGTAAGCAAGTAATCAACAAACAAGTAATATAAAACATTAAGAAACTTCGTACGAGCATCTAATACAAACTAAAAGCAAAGGCTTCATTCACTCGACTTTCGTCTGATGTTATCAAGGTTCTCTAGGTTAGTAATGTTCTTATCAAACGCGGTCGGGGAACTTTTCTAACTTCTGTGATCGAACGGGCTATTAGCGTGTGCAGAAAACGTTGGAATACTTGGCACTTTATGAATTGCAAATTAAATAAGAATGCTTGGCAAAGCTGATTCAGCTCCGCCTCCGACTTTTTGTTAGCGTCATTCATAGAAAATTGTAGAGAACGTACTTGTCACTCTTGCAATAGCCACTGTCGTCTGCTACCTTAGTTGGACATTCGTGATATCGAAGCTAGTGGGTATACACGCTTTTTCTGGTATTTTGCCTCTGACTTAGGCGTATAATAGTCACATCGCCAGCCCTTACTTCGGACGCGATGCCACCATTCAGAAAGGATCCCTCTATACGCCAGCGTGTCTAACTCTTGCTCGAATTCCATTGGCGACCTGAAGCCGTAGCTGCGGATGCCTGTTCCAGTGTATCGACGGCGTATCGATGGGAGCGGAACCTTGCTATCTATGGTGACACCGTAATCCCTCGTAACAGGTACATTCATACACAAGGCCCTTCCTCAAGCCCGAGTGACGCGATTCATGCAAGCGATGCATACAAATCTCCTTGAGATTCCTTCAAAATGAGTATGCGTCATGATGGCTCCTATGTCTATTTTACCCCACACAATGCTACTTTCAAAGGATGCTAATTACCCCGTAAAGATCTGCGCTGAGCTCTGCAGGTCTAGACCGGTCACACGGCGGAGCGGGCTTACAGCTCGGCAGGGGTGAGTAGGTGCTAGGTATATATACCTCGTCCGGGGTGAAAGGGACACACTCAGCATATGCTAACACCTCATTCGGGGTGAAGCGAGCATACAAGAGTGGCAAGTACGTTCTCTGCAATTTTCTATGAATGGCGCTAACAAAAAGTCGGAGGCGGAGCTGAATCAGCTTTGCCAAGCATTCTTATTTAATTTGCAATTCATAACTGAGATTCTCACACACACCCCACCAAAAGTAGTACTGAGTAGATGAATCTTCTCCCATATCGCATTCTACCACCTTCCTCATCATATTTGAAGCTCCTGTATATCTCGCTTAGCCGATCCTTGGTATTTTGCCTTAGTGTTTCGAAATGCCTCCCAATCGACGCAGTCAGGGCCCCCCCCCTCTACCGACCTCCCCTCCGGCCAGACAGTCCAAGAGGCCTAAGAAGGCGTCCTCCCGTGCCCAAGCGATTGCTGAGGATAGCCAGCCGGGCCCCAGCAACAGAAAGCTAGAGGCTTTAAGGCAGACTTGAAGGTATTCAAGCCTCAATGGCGACAGGCGAAGGCCTTAATGACTCTGAGGCAGTAGCAGCAGCAGCAAATGTAGTTTAGTCTTCAAAATCTATCTGAATATCGCACTCATTAAGAGCCCTATTTAACTCCCTTATGTCCGCCTCAAAGATATAGCCTCTCATTGCACTATGCTTGAAATGCTCCCTCGGAAAGCGATCGCACCGACTCCTCCTCACGGCATATCGTAAGAAGTCACCAAAGTTCCCTTGGAACTGAGGCCATGCCTCGTGAAAGTGTCTTCGAATCTATATCTTCAAGACGCTGAAAGAGAGCTCGATAGGATTGAAATCTGGTGAGTAGGGAGGCAGATATCGGACCTCGCAATCATGCTAACGGATTACCTCCTCGATATGAGAATTACAGTATATACTGATATTAGTTATAATAATAATTATTGATAAATACCTGGATATGCAGTTACTGCTATAATGAGACCTATTATTAGATAGGGTAAATTACAAATTTATATCTTAAAACCTTAAATCCTTACAAATTCATACCTCTAATTACATTTTCATACCCCTTTATTAAATCTTAAGGTATGAAAATGTAATTTATCATTCTTTAGAATATGAATTTATAATTTATTAAAATTTGATCTTTGAGTATCCGACGTTTAACGTTTCTAAAGAAGCCTCGAAAGTATTAAACAGCCCCTAGAAAATTAAATTCTAAAGTTATCGCGGATGAGGTGAGTTGGAGATTAAACCTCGGAGCGAGGTTTTGACGAGTTATACGGCGAACCCTAGAGGTCTTCAGTTCGAGGTTCCCGAGGCCGATTCGGGCTAATTTCGCAACCCCCGAAGATCTAACCTCAGCGCACTATAGTAAATTACATTTTCATACCCTAAGGAATAACAAATTATCGATTTATATCTTATTGAGATATGAAAATGTAATTAGGGGTATGAATTTGTAAGGATTTAAGATTTTAGAATATGAATTTATAATTTACTCTATTAAATGTAATAGTCTTAATAATATCTAAGAAAGAAGAATTCTATATATAGAAACGGCCTTTATATACTAATAACTAGGCCGAATAAGTACTAGCGTAAGCGAGTATTAAGTTATCAATACTGGTAAAAACCGAAAAAGATAAGGCTATTCGTATGCTATAAAAATATTACTTCTTTAAATCCTTCTCCGTAATGCTTTTTATAACTATAATTACTTTCTTTACTATAGGCGTAGATCTAATTATATTAGATATATTTCTAGTAGTAATAAGAGAAAGATAAACTCTTATAACTAAATCCCTAAATAGCTACATTAAGAATATACCGTTTATATACTCTATATATCTATCCTTAGCCTATAGTCTTCCGCTTCTCCATATCACGAATATAGCCGAGCGGAGAGGCGAGCTAAGAGGCGAGAAAATGAGTATACTAGAAGGCGAAAAGTGGAGCGAGAAAATGAGCATGTTGGGAGGCGAAAGATGCATCGAGATTACTGAGCGAGAAAGTAGGCTCTCTGAGAGTCGATATAATACGCGAACGTGAAACCGCAGAGAGTTGGCTCGTGTTGATAGGGCTGCTGTCTTGAATGACTTACTTATTCTCAGACTGTTGTTGCTGAATTGACTGCATTGGCTGTTGTTGAGGCTGACGTGGAGGGCCGTCGCTTGAAGTAGGGGGAGGGTGGACTGGAGCGGTATCCTCGACAATTGGAGTGAGGGGAGGGTGAACTAAAGTGGTATCTTCGACAATTGGTTGATAAGGTGGCTGCGGAGGGAGAGGAGCAGTATTCTCTAATTGATAAGGCGGTTGCGGGGGAGAGGAATAGTGTTCTCCGATCGATAAGGCTGATGATAAGGCAGTTGCGGGGGAGAGGAACAGTGTTCTCCGATCGATAAGGCTGATGATAAGGCTATTACGACGGGAGAGGAACAGTATTCTCCGGTCAATAAGGCTACTGCGGCTGAATTGGTTACTGCTGAGGAGGGTAATATTATTACTACTTTAATAGAGGACGATCCTTATTATTTAGTGGCTATGAAATATCTTCTTAGACTATATTAGCTAATAATTCGACTATTAAAATTTCTTATTTTTTCTTAATATAGACTTTATTAGCTCGTAGGCAGTTTTATAAGTTATAGAGAGTCTTTTTAAAAAGGATCTTAAAGTTCTCCTTAGCGAATTATTGAAATTCCTTAGTAAAGATATCAAAGAGAGCGTTCTATTTGTTTTCATTATACTCTTATATTCTTTAAAGAACGAATTATTTAAGTCTCTTATTAGTATCTATTAATTCGACTTCTTTAAATAATATATTCTCTAATTAATATAGAGTTATAGTATTAAGCGATTCGACTAAAGAATTAGATTTCTTACTCTTAAAGTTTATTTTAGATATATATTATATGTTAATATAGTATAAAGCTTAATAGTATTTAATATTTTCTAAGTATTTTATTCGATATCGACTAAATAGAAGTTATAGAAATTATAGAAATTATAGTTTAAATCGATTAAGTAACTATAGAATCGTATAAAGCTATCGCGGCGATATCGAGACGAACTTTCTTTAAGAGTATAACCTTACTAATCTATATACTAGTATTAAAATATATTAATTAATATTAGTAAATATCTAAGTATATAGTTACTACTATAATAAGATTTATTATTAAA